ATTGGCTTTTTATCCTTGTATTTCCTTAAAATACTGTACCTTTATCTCCCATTGTATTTAACATTTTACCCTATTTTTTCCTGTACAATGCCGACCATGTTTCTCAGTTACTTTGAATTTACTTTTAGTGGTGCCTGATTTGTCTTGTTTTATCTTCTCAGGCGTCATTCATACTTCATGATGAATGAGCATTTGCACGGGTAATTCAGGCACTCTTACACGTGTCAGCAACAAAGCGTTTTTGATTCAGGCCTACCCGGATTCTGAATAGGGGAAAAACTGGTTAAACCAGTTTGATTGACATAGGAAATGAAACTAAAAATAGTAAATTTTTCAAGTTCAGTGAAGGTTGAAACTGACAATTTAAAATTTCTTAACAAGGACTAAACTATCAAATCTATTCCTTTGTGTTTTCTTCTTCTATAACAGAAACATTGAAGCAAAGAGTCAAAATATCATTGACTGTGGGAGAGTGGTTGGCTTTTTTCACTTTTCCAAGTTCTCATTTTCTTATTCATTCAGTGTCCATAATAGTCTAGGGATGTTAGAAATTTATTAAAAAGATGACATATCTCAGTAGGTCATAGGCCATCAGTTAATGCATTTTCTACTATAATACACTCAATGACATTAATGGTGCAATATGGGTTACTTTAAACAACGTAATATGAAAGTTCAAGCAAATTTAAAAGAGTTATTATATCTAGGGTTTGGGTTTGGGTTACGATTAGGGCTAAGGCTAGGGCTAGGGTTCAGGTTCGGGTTAGACAAGATTTGGGTTTGGGTTCGGGTTCGGGTTAGGGCCAGGGCTAGGGCTAGGGCTAGGGCCAGAGCCAGGGCTAGGGCCGGGGTAAAGGTTAGGGTTAGGGCCAGGGATCAGGGGTCAAGGGTCTTCCCATGTGCTGCCCAGGCACCAGCTGTGGGGTACAGCATGGAGCAGGGAGGAGGTCGGGTTGAGGCCCTGAGGACACCACGTCACCACTCTAGCTCTGACACATGCAGAGATGTCCAACATTGATTCTGTCTGCTTTGTTGTCAGTGCTCATTGGTCATGAAAACTGAACTGATTAAAGGCAAAGACAGGAGTAGAGCTGGACTGGCTTGTGCATGAGTCACAATATGCCTGACAGGGCCAGCCCGGTGGTGCACTGGAGAGTGTGCCGCTTGGGAGCGCGGCAGCACTCCCGCCGAGGGTTCAGGTCCCATGTGGAGACCGGTTCCCGCTCACTGGCTGAGCGCGGTGCAGGCACAACACCGAGGGTTGCGATCCCGTTGCCGGTCCCTGGTGCAGGCGCGACACCGAGGGTTGCCATCCCGTTACCGGTCAGTAAAAAAGACAAAAAGGAAAAAAAAAACAAACAATATGCCTGACAGCTCTAGGGGGTTTTCTTTGTTATAAAACCTGAGTTAGGAACATGTAAACAAATGCAAGGTGTTTATGCTGAGTGGCTGGGTCTGAGGGACACCCCAGCAAGGTGGGCAGAACTCTTCACGAGGCATTCATGTCAGTTTCACGAATCTTGGTCTGACTTTCTGGTAATGCTAGGTTTTGTAAGTTCCCATATAGCATTTGCGAATCCCTCTTTTCATGGGTAAGTTTCTTTATTTTATCTTCTCCCCTGACCCTGTGCTATTGACCAAACCTCTCCGGCCTTCCCTTGACACTCAGGTTGCTCTTAACCTTGTTGTGGGCCCATTTTCCAATCCATAAAGACAAGACTGGCCAACTGTGATTACAGGGTGGTCTGAGCTGACGGAAGATCTGCAGGGCTAGAGCTCCACTCCCCTGCACACCCTGTATATGGCCCCCAGTGGCTCTTCAGAGTAGGCTGGGGCCACGATGGCACCAGGTCCCTGTGGTCACAAGAGCAGCCATGGACCCTGGGACCCGCATCTGCTGTCCGCCAGCTCCAGGAGCGGGGCTGCGACTCAGTGGGAAAGGCAGGCTTTCTTCCTGCTGCACTGTTTTGATGCTGTCCATGACTTCTCTGACCTGGGGCTGTCTGCAGCAGCAGGACTGTTAGTGTCCACAGCTTCCTGGCCACCCACCTCAGGTGCTCAGCGAGATTTTCTTCATTGGCTTATCCTCAATGGATGTTTCCTGAGAGCTTAGAGCATTCAGGACTCCCCCATGCTGGAGATGGGGTCCCCTGAAGACAGGGCAGTGTTGTCGACCAGTACCCCGAGGGGAGAGGGTGGGAAATGAAGAAAGACATGATTTATTTTATGGGATCAGGAGGACCTTTCAGGATGCTGACCTGCAAGGCATCTTAGTTTATTTTTGGTTCCTTTTTATAAGCCAGTGAAAATAACAAATCATATTGATTAAATCAATTATATCTGCTACCAAGCTATTTATAGAACAGAACATTTTCAGCTGTCACGGTGCTTGAAGATTCTTAGCTAACTACTTATCAACAAAATAAGAACATAAGTTTCTCATTTACAAAGCTTCCAGGGTCCTGGGTTCAATCAAAGGTCAGACCTCAAAGGGAGGGAGAAGGGGGAAGTAGGCAAAAGGGGTGCTAGCCCTGCTGGCTTATCCAGAAAAGCAAGGACTTTGTCAGCTTGCTTATTCAGTACCCCACAGGACAGGTGCAGGGCCTTCATGAGCAGGGATTGCATGAGGGAATCACAGATCCACATCCTTCCTATGAACAGCTGATGGACAAAGAGACTCGACAAGGGGCAGAGGCCACAGGCAGGAGGTAGAGGCCTCAGGACCCCTGCCTCCCCCACCTGCTCCTTTGCCCTGTGCCATCTTGGCACCCACAAGCCCCTACAGGTGCTGCTGAGCCACAGACCCCGCTGGAAGCGGATGACCCACAGGAGGTCCACAGGCTGGGGTCTGGGGCCATGCCACCCAGGCCCTGCCCGGCAGCTGCCCCTGTCCCCAGTGCCAACATTCTTGCCCACACAACGGGCAGGCCCTGGAGCCCTGCCTGACACTCTGCACACACCAGCAAAGGCTTCCTCCATCTCTAGGTGAGCCCGCAGCCCCCCTAAGGTAAAGACCCCTCCCCGGGATAGGACAAGACTGGGCGGTGGCTTTATTGCTTTCTCATTCTCCATCCCATGGATGTTGCCTCAAATTCACCCATCACCAGCCCGTGCCAGATCCACGGAATGGGGCCTCTACTCCTTAGGATGCCATGGTGCTGACACATCAGATGCCACTGAGAGCTCCAGAGCCCATCTGGGCAGGCTGGACAGGTCTGAGAATGAAGGAGGCCAGCCAAGTCAGTGAGTGGACAGGAGGCCTGCAGACATGGGTGAGTTGGAGGTGGCAGGCGGGTGCAGTTGGCACCCCAAGTTAGGAAACATCTTGCTGTGCGTGTCTTCAGTTTCTTTGTCAGTGTACAGATGATGGACAGAGGAATTAATAAAGTCCTTTCATTCACACAGACACCTACTGATCTCTTGGTTCCTTGCTGATACTGGGTGTAAAGTTTTCATGCCTTAAGTGACCTCAGGTACAAATGAACACATATACCCTTCAGTATCTTTTTGATCTTCATAGCTACATGCAAGATACCAAAGAAAAGAGTGCATCCTGTGTATGTGTGTGCATGCATCTGCACACATGTGCATGTACAATCATGTTGTGCACGTGTGCATGCAGATGTGCATGGCATGTGCGATCATGAGTGTGTACATGTGCATGAGGGTGTGCAATGTGTGGTGTGTGCAATCATGTGTGCACATGTGTGGTTGTGTAGTGTACACACGTGTGCATGCAGGTGTGCATTGTATGGTGTGTGCAATCGTGTGTGCACATGTTCATGCAGGTGTGCATTGTATGGTGTGTGCAATCGTGTGTGCACATGTTCATGCAGGTGTGCACGTGTGCATGCAGGTGTGCATGTGTAATCATGCATGTGCACGTGTGCATGCAGGTTATGTGTGTGTGTGTGCCTGTGCATATGCATGTGTGCATGTGTGTTTTGTGCTCCACTCCATACCCCTAGGAAGTGGGTTTGAACACATGGAGGTAACTTTTATAAAAGTTCATGTTTGGGCTGGCCCGGTGGCGCACTCGGTAGAGTGCAGCGCTTGGGAGTGTGGCAGCGCTCCCGCCGAGGGTTCGGATCCCATATAGAGACCGGTCTGCTCACTGGTTGAGCCCAGTGTGGGCGCGACACCGAGGGTTGCGATCCCGTTACCGGTCACGAAAAAAGACAAAAAGGAAAAAAAAAAAAGTTCGTGTTTACATTTAAGGAAATCAATATTTGGGGGAACCTGACTTTTCTGAAAACTTTCATCAGCCTTATTGATTAGAGGTTTTTTGAATCAAAACATTATTTCTGGTGTTCACCCTAACTCATTTATCAAGTCGTCATCACACAGTAGCTGTCGTATGTCTTTAAACCAGCAGCATGTGTGCGGAAAGTGAAGTCGGTGGGCACGCGGAAGGGGCAATGGGACTTGGAGGGACCGCGGACTCCCTGGGGCCCTTACGTGTCCTGCGCTCATGGAGGAAGTGAGTGCGGTTCCCGAAGACGCAAACGGGAAAGAGAAGCAGGAATAAGATAAGAAAGGGAGTGAGGGAGGGGAGACAGAGGCTTTCTGGGTTCCCATGCTGGCCTGCGTCCCCCGCCGCCTCTCTTCATAGTGAGTTTTAAGCAGGAATCCGCTCCTGCCACGTGCCGTCGGCTCACAGGGAGTTAAGTCTCACGGACGCTGAGACTTAACTCCCTGTGAGCCGACGGCACGTGGCCTGACCGCGGGGACGGAGGCTACAGCGATGGTCAGCTTTCCGTCGCTTGGGCACTTAGCTGGACAACCTCATGTCACTCTCATGAGGAGCCTGTGATGGAGGCACAACTGTCACCTTCTCACACTCTCACACCGCCCGGCCCCGCCCACTCTGGGGTCGGCTCTCCTCCCTCAGCCCCGCCCACTCTGGGGTCGGCACTCCTCCCTCAGCCCCGCCCACTCTGGCGTCCGCGCTCCTCCCTCAGAGCCCTTCCCCTTTGCGGCAGGCGGGAGCCCGGATGTTACCGTTGTAGGCTGTTGTCTGCTGTTGTCGGGGCGTTAGTGGGCACCCCAGACGCTCCTCAGATCCACGGAGTGGGGACAAGAGCATAGATCGGCGCAGCTGCGGTGCACTGAGGAGGCTGCCCGGGGAGCGGCGTGGCGGACCAGGTAGGGCCCAGGTGAGGGGCTGTGACTCCCGACCGAGGCAGGGGAGGTAGCGGCGGACTGAGGAGGCTGCGAGGGCAGGAGCGGCCGACGGTAGGAGCGGGGCCGAGGGCAGGAGCGGCGGCGGGGCCCAGGTTAGGAGCGGCGGGGTGGACCAGGTAGGGCCCGGGTGAGGGGCTGTGACTCCAGACCGAGGCAGGGGAGGTAGCGTCGGGCTGAGAGGGCGGCGCGGGGAGCCTGGGGAGGGTCCTCCGAGGCCCGAGTGGGGAGGGGAGGGGCGGCGGAGGCCAGCGGGGTGGGTGGGGGGATGGAGACGGCGGGGTGCCCGGCGCTGGCAGGGAGAGGAGAGCCGGCATCCCTTCCCGTGCTGGGCTAGCCTTCTCCGAGGGCTGCTGTCATCTGTGAATAATGTTTCTTGTCTTGAAATACTCTTTCTGATATTAATATAGTCACGCCAGTTTTTTTATGCTTATCTTTACATGCTACATCTCTGTCCATCCTTTTACTCTCAACCTATCATTGCCTTTGTATTTGAAGTGGTTTTTCTTGTAGGCAGCATATATTTGGACCCTGCTGTTTTTTTAGTCTTTTAATTTATGGGGTTTTTTTGTCCACTTATATTTAATGTAATTACTCATATAGTTGGCTTCCAGTCTACCTTCTTATCTGTTTCCTCATTGTCTCATTTGCATTTTTATTACTCTGTTGCTCCTTTTCTCTCTTTATTTTGGCTAACCAAAAAACTTTTAACCTTTGTTTTATTTCCTCTATGCCTTTTTAGCTACACTTTTTGTATTATTATTTGGTGGTTTCTTTAAGCTATTCAGTATGCATTCTGAACTTATCACAATCTACTTAGTATTTGTTGCTTTGCCCCCCACGGATTTGTCACGCCTCTTCCCCAGGGTGATGGAGCTGCAAAGGACTACTCAAAGCCCATCTCTTCTGAGCAGTGAGAAGCCCCAAAGTGGTTAATTTCCCCAAACCCTCAAGAGAGAGGCATTTCTTTCATTTGGGAAATTAACCACGAATTGGGGTTCCCTTGCTGTATTTATTCTCCAGCCCAGGAAGTTACAGCAAGAGACATAGGCAGGGTTATAGTTTAACAATACAAGCTGGTAACTTTCAGTGAAACAAGCCAGATGACATTCCAAAAGGCAGGAAGAGACATAGATGGGCTTAAAGTTTTAAGAAGTTTAACAATAGAAGCTGGTAACATTCAGTTAAAAACAAGTCAGATGATATTCTATTAGGCAATTAAGTGATCCACCAACAAAAGCTTGATCTTAGCAAACATTCTCTTCTTACAGCAATTTCCCAGTATCTTTACATATCAATCAATAACTTGTCTGTCTTTAAACCAGCAGCCTTGCTGTGTTACAACTCTTTATCTTACAACAGAGATTCAATAGCCTAGGGAAAATTTCCTGTTTTTTGTAAGGTCAATATTTGAAAAAGCAAGGCTTTGGAAAACCAGGCCCTGTGAAGTACATTTGCTTTACAGTATACTCCACAAGTAGTAATGGTACTTAGTATTGTACCATTTTATGTATGATACAAAAACCTAAAACAGTGAAATTTCATTGACCCCAGATTTCATACTATAGTTGTTATGTACTTTACATGTACATGTGCAATGACTTAGTATTTCATTGACCCCAGATTTCATACTATAGTTGTTATGTACTTTACATGTACATGTGCAATGAAAACCACCATACAATATTATTATTTGTATTTTAATCAGTTGTCTTTCAAAGAAATTTTTTTAAAAGATGATCTTTTTGTTTACCTAAAATACCACTGCTGTTCATTATTTCCTGTATATCTATGTTTCTAGCTGCCAAATTAATTTCCCTGTAACTTTAAATTTTACCTCTAGCATTTTTTTTTTATAATGCAGGTGTGCTACTGACAAATTATCTAAGTGTTCCTTTATATGAAAATATACTAATTTCACCCTCATTTTTGAAAGATATTGTCTCTAGATAGAATTCTAGGCCGATAAGCTTTATAAAGAAAAAGAAAAGAAAACTTTGAATATGTTATACCATTATTTTCTGGATTCCATTGTTTCTGTTGAGAAGTCAGTCATTATTCATCATTGTTCCTCTGTATGTATATGTCATTTTTCTCTGGCCACTTTTAAGATTTTGTCATTATGTTTGATTTTTAACAGTTTGGCTATGATGCTTTTCTTAATATGTATTCTGCTTGATGCCCTCTAAGCCTGGGTTGATCTGATACCATGATTTTGCTGTTGAACTTTCCTCTTTTAGTCCTGAAAGCTCTCTCACACAGGCCCATTTCCCTAGTGTGTCACTTATCCACTCTGTGATATTAGAATGTGGGAAGAGCATTCATCTTTTTATTTCTTTACCCTGGAGACAGTGTTGGTCAGTGAGTCTCTGTCATCTGCCCCACCCCAGCCATGTGTGGACAGCAAGGTTTGAAGGTCACTGCTCTGTGAAAGCACCTCAGAGACTTTTTCCGCAGCAATTCCGCTCTCCTATCCTAAGCTGGAATTCTGGTTCCAACCTCCAGAGGCGTCCATACCCAACTCCTTTGCCACACTCTTCACAACAGACGGGGTGTTAAGAAGTTTTCTTATCATTGCTGTAAGATAGCATGGCCCTAACTTTCAGAGTTCTGAATTCCTTTAGGGGAGTGGGTTTTGGAGTCAAAACACTCCTAATTGTCGTTATACACAAGCACAATGTTGGGAGAATTGACAGCAAGAGTGAAGTTCCATTTGGTGAGACACACACACTCAAAAGAATGCCACCAGAAAGTTTTTACTCTCTTTTAGAATCAAGTTGTAGGCATCGGCATTGTGCACCTGCACCGAGAGGCCACTGCTGGGCCCAGTGTGGGCAGGCCACACCCATGGGAGGGCTTGTGTGTGGCTCATCTGTGTAGTCCCAGCACCCAGATGTTGCCAGGCATGTCACAGGCACTAGAGAGATGCTATTATGGAGCAAATGAATACCTGGACAGTGTTTTCTATTCCAAGCATTTGTGATTTGCTTCATTTCACCCATATTCTCTAGCCCTTAGGAACATGGGAAAACAAGCTACACCTCAACCTGAAGAATAGAGAGAAAGAAAAACCACAGAAATGCAAAGTCAAATGCAGCCCGTCGACCAAGTGAACTTCCCAGGTAAGAGGTGAACCTGAACAACTGTCCTCTAGGACCTAGGAGGGTCCTAGGAGCTGACCTTTCTGCTGCATGTATGTGACGTGTTCCCCAAAGGAGGAAAGTCTGGCTCACTATCCATAGGCATGTGCATCTCATTCCCTGCTTCAGGACATCATGGAGACAAGATCTATTGCATGGTGTCTATGGGCTGTTTGCAGCAGCCAGCCTGGGCTCTGGGCATCCTCCCTGGTTTGGGAGCTGGCTGAATAGAACTCAACTCAACTCAGTAGCATATGTTGGGACTAACCATGTGTCAGGCACTGCCGACAGAAGATAGATACATGAGTGGGACAACTGTCCCTGTCATCAAGGAAATACTCTGTAAGAAAATAATCTGTGAGCAAAACAATTTACATCAAGGTGTTTCTCACAGGACAAGGTTGTAAAGCGTGCGGTGCTGTACTTGTGGCACTTAAAAGCCTCTCGCAGCCAATGGCTGTGCATGAGTGAGCTCCGTGACTACGCCTCATCTGCCTACAGATTTCCCAAGTGAATAATGCATAAGTCATAATGTCAAGAAGAAATAGGGCCTGGTAAGAAAAACCGAGCTCTCTGGGAACTGGTTGACCTTCTGAGACCCCATAGTCCTGTGCTAATTTTATAACCTTACAAAGAACTTTATCATATCACAGATCATCTCATTTGATACTCACAACCCACTGAGTGAGGGAGCAGGAAGTGTTACTTCAATTTACTTAAGAAACTGAGATGAAGAGAAGCTTTATCATATCACAGATCATCTCATTTGAGACTCACAATCCACTGAGTGAGGGAGCAGGAAGTGTTACTTCAATTTACTTAAGAAACTGAGATGAAGAGAACTTAAAAGACTTGGCTAAGCTCACATGATAGAGCTGGAATGAGACCTCAGGTCTCCTAGGTTAGATGAGGGATCTTTCTACTGATAACTTGTTTTAAACTAGTTTAAATTTATTTGCAGCTTCCATTATTTAAGTTAAAAAAAAAAAAAAGGTAATCCATAGCCATTGTTGCAAATTAAAAACAAAGGGATGTTTTTATCCCTTTCCTCCTCCAGTTTTGTCCTGGAATATGGTTTCCAAACACATTTCATTGTTGGGTTTGCTCTGCTTTCCCCAAATTACCCTTCTTGATTATTGTACTGTTTCAGAGGTCAATGTTTGTTGTCTTTACCCAAGAGATAATCAGCCAGTTCTGGCTGAGGCTGTTTCGCAGATTGTCTTATTTGGGATGTTTTCATTTGAAAGAAAGAAAACTGACTCAAACAGGTTCAGACAATTATGAACTTTATCAGCTGTAATACAGCATTTTATTCTGAGACTAAGACATAAGTTCAGCCATGATTTGCAAGGTGCTACACGAAAGCAGGCAGCTCGGGACAGGGCCACTGAGCTCCCTGCTGGGGCAGAGGGCTTATGTAGGCTGCTTGCCAAGGTTATATTGGGTACTCGGGGTTGTGGAGAGTCCGGAAGGTCAGGGCATCTGTGTAGTTTCACAGTCTGGGGTTAGAAGTACCCATAGTTCCATTTGTCCTGATTGGGGAAAGTAGGCGGGGAACTCTGAGATTATATCAGAGCAGGCCATGACTCTGAAGTCAAAGGTCAGTCAAGCCTGGTTTGCAGTAGGATAAATGAAAAGTTACTGGGCATGGGGAATTTTTAGAGGTCTTGACAGGACTCCTGCAGGTCAAGCTTCAGGCATGGCTTGATCTGAGATTCCCTCAGCTCTTCCCTCCACTGGGCTTTGGCTTTGTCCCTAAGTCTTCCGCCATGGTCCCAAGACAGCCACCAGCTGCCACCCAAGAATGCTTCCTCCCGTATCCAGTGGAAACCCAAGGTGGTCTTCATGCTTTGTTGGCCCATACTGACTTGAGCCTGCCCTCCTCCCTTCCTGCTCTCCACCCTGTATCAAAACTCTCACTGTCTTTGAAGAGCACGTTCAGGTGCCTCCTCTGGGGTAGCAACAATCGGAATGAATTACTCATTCCTCTGTGTCCCCCCAGCAAGAGTCTGCTTCTCCACCAGAATTCTCACCCCCTTCTGTCTCCAAGTGTGTTTCTTACCCAGTTGACTGTCCACTCCTCCGGGAGTGACTGGGTCTTCATGCCTTCCTATAATGCCTGGCAAAGTTCCCAACACATAGATGTTCTCAGTACATCTTGGTGGAAGAAAAGAGTGAATGAATGGATGAGTGAACGAAAGAATAGGAACCAAGGTCCTATCTCCAGCAGGATCCGGCCTGGTCTACTCACAGTGCTTTCCCCAACTGGCCTTCAGAGTTCTCTCTTCCTCTTTCAGGTCACTGCAGGGAGTCTTTGCCGTGGGAAAATGAAGCTGCAGAGAGAATTTATCACTTCTTAGTGGGGCAGACAGTTCACTACAAGGATACAGGGCCCTCCAGGGAGGTCCTGCTACTAGCGTCTGCAAAATGACCTGTGGAAAGGTGTGGATCCTGCCCCAGCTCACGTGTACAAGCAACACTGAGCACAGTGGGTTTCCAGGTGGGTGGCTCCCTTCTGGCATCCACTACATTGGTTTGCTCCATTGGGGCCAATTGGGGTGGAATTTCTGACCTCACCTGTTATGTGACCTATTCTCATTCTAAAAAAATAGACCAGATGAACACTAAGGTCCCCTTCACCTAAGGTACCCCTGTGCCCTGAGTGGGGATCAACAATCAGAGATGGACAAGTGGGGAAGATCTTTCGAGTGTTCCAAAGCACCCCAGATGCTGCTTCATGGTGGCAATGCTGAGATCAGCATTTTCCACCTGACCCTGAGATTCCACTACCTCCTCTAAGCCACTAGGACTTCCCCAAGTTCAGGGGATAGTCCAGCCTCCACCCATGCCTTCCTTGCATTTACTGGTATACAGTGTAAATCTCTTATTCTGTCAGTGCCCCCTTGTTAGCCAGTGGCTTCCCCTGGAGCTGTTCCCTGCCTGAGCTTTGGTGAGAGCTTGAATGTGCAGAAATGGGCTGACTCAAGCCCGTGCACACCTCGTGCATGCCGCAGCCCACCGCTGTGGAGGTCTTCGGCTATCCTTGTTCTGAAATTGTATTAATATTTCTATGACCAGAACTCACTTCCTTCAACCACAGGTGTTACTGGTTGCCATGCTCAACACCATTTCTCGTGTCCCCACCTTCCTCCTGGCTGCTCTGGGACATCTTTCTTCCCCATGGCCCACCCCCGAGAGCTGCAAGTCACTTCCTGTGTAAGGGACTGGAGAGGCAGGGCAGGCCCGGGGTGACTGACCACAAGCAGGAGTAATTGGGAACCTGTCACAGAGAAAAAGCTACCTCTGGGCATTTCTATTCATTCAATGGTTCTACTACTGTGACCATTTCCAAGTGGCAGATTGAAGCCTAGGGAGGAAGAGTCACTGAGAGTTTCATGAACAGCCAGGATCAGGGTTAGAATTCCTCTCCCATGAGGCCACTTAGCCACTTCCCAGCAACCCCAGAGCACCCACAGAGATGTGACCACAACCAGGATTTGTGCCTTAGCAGGTGCATCTGAAGCCAGCTAGGAGGGCAAGGGGGGGTGGGAGTGAGGCCCCCTCTTGCCATCCTTGGCTCCACAGGCATCCCCGACTCTCTCCTCCAGGTGAAGAAGAACCTCAGGCAATCACAAATGCTAATCCTGAGAGCAAGAAGTCCTGCCCCTTCACGACAGCAGGTAAGGGACGGCTTGCTAAAGGCAGATGAGAGCCTGATTGGGAGAGGGCAGACGGTGCCTGAACCAGACTCTTGGCAGGTGCACAGGCGGGAAGGAGAAGCCCACCTGGCAGCCTCACCCCTCCTCCTGACCAGGGCCGTGGCCCCAAAGCCAGTGTCAGGAAGAGGAAACCCAGGCCTGAGGAGGAGGTCTCCAGGCAGAGGGTGAACCGCCAGCCCTGCTCCAGCATCTTAGCCACCGAGAAGCCCTGACTCTCTCCAGCCTGTGCCGTCCTATAATGAGTGTAAACAGGGCGCTTTCCCCCTTCTCTGTCCCACAGATTTTCAGAAACATACAGAAGCAGCTACAACCATGGAGACGTTCATATTTACAGCGGAGTACCAGGTAGCAGGTGGGTGGGTCACTTTCTTTGTGGACAAAATGTACGCTAGACAGAGATGTGGACAGTTTGGTTGATTGGTTGGTTTAAATGACCCCCTTCTTGCGCTATATAATGTTAATATACATTATACGAAGTTATACGATGAAAGTAAAAGACTAACCCAGATACTAGCATGATCCAAAATCCCATGAATCAGTGATGGTATGTTGTGAGCAAAGTCTCAAACTGGCCCCAGCCAGTTCCTCCTGAGCTGATCTTAAAGGATAATGACACCCTATGCCTGGGGTGAGCGAGGGAGGGGGGCATATAACCAGGCAGAGAGAAGACACATTCCAGAGGCACGACAGTGGTTTCCTCTTTGGGCGGCTTTGAGGCTACATCTGCCTGAACAAATATGTAAACAGCTGACTCCAGAGCCTCTGCAAAGCAGCATTTGGAAAATATGAACACTTTCAGGAAATGTTAATGTGTTTATCATTTGTTTTCATATTTCAACATTCCTTCCACCAGATGCAGGCCTCATGCATGGTCTCCTTAAATGAAGCCTAGGCTCAGAACCTTTCTGAAGTGTGTGTCTGTCAGTCTGTCCCCTGCTCCCCAATGTACAGCACTGCCTAAGGACAGGCACTGTCCCCCCTTCCTTATACAAGTGTGATCCTTCCACACTCACTGGGCACTCACCCTGGCTCTGTGAGACTCCTAAGGAGTCTTGTAGGGGAGGGAGCTACGGGGGAGGGAGCTGTGTTCTGAGGAGGGAGAGCAGAGCTACCACCCTGCCCTGCTCAGCTGGGACCTTCTCAGTCTGCTGTGTGCACCTGGATCCTGCTGCCCCAGCGCCAAGCCCAGCGCTCTGTTGCTGAACTACCTCTCTGTTGACAGTGGCCGGCTGTGTTTTCCTGCTGATCAGTATCCTCCTGAGTGGGCTCACCTGGCAGCGGAGATGGTGAATCCAAAATGATCAAGGAAGCATTTTGTCAAAGAACGGAGTGGGAAAGACCCAATGGCACAGGGAGACGCCTATCCACACCTTCCTGGAGTCAATCAGAGAGCATGAGAGCAACAGGGAAATGGGAAAGCAGAGGAAGCTAACATTTGCTGAGTGCCTGCTTTAGGCCAGGCTCCCTGCTTATCTTGTGTGCATTTATCTTCTCAGAGACCTTAGGAGAAGAGCTACAGCCTAGAGAAATTAAACAGCTTAAACATGATTACATAGCAAAGACCAAAACTGCAGCCTGAATCTAGAGCCCAAGATCTTCCTACCCATCACCTTCCTAGAAGGAAACCGGGGTAGTGTCTACACTGAGCTCTTCCTATCCAGTGCTCCTCAGCCCACCTTCTGCAGACACTCACACTAGCATCCCCTCGGCTAGGAATGGAACCCATGTGTGGCCTTATTGACATTAAGTTAGGTTCTCAACCCTGGGTGCATATTAGTACAATCAGGAGGGATTTTTATTAAAACAAAACAGTGCTTGGGCCCTCAACCAGAATCTCTGGGGGTGGGCTCCAGACAGCAATACTTTTTTAAAAAAATTAAGAGAAAATTCATCATTTAGCCATCATACAGTGTACAATTCAGTGATATCTTAGTCCATTTTGTGTGGGTATAACAAAATACCTGAAACTGGGTAATTTATAAAGAACAAAGATTTATTTCTTACAATTCTGTAGGCTGGAAAGTCCAAGACCGAGGGACCCTGCATCTGGCAAGGGCCTCCCCGTAGCAGAAGGTAGAAGGGCAAGAGGGGGCGATAATGAAGCCATTCCCATAACATTAATCCATTCAAGAGGGCAGACTCCTCATCTCTTGAAAGCCCCACCTCTCAACACTGTTGCATTGGGGGTTCAGCTTCTAGCATGAACTTTGGGGGACACATTCAAACCATAGCAAATGATATTTAGGATGTTCACAATGTTGTGCAACCATCACCACTATCTAATTCCAGAACATTTCCATCGTCCCAGAAAGAAACCTTATACTTCCCAATTCTCTGTTTCCTCCCTCCCCTGGCAATCTCTACTCATTTTCTATCTCTATAGTTTGCCTGTTCTGGACATTCCATATAATTGGAATCATACATGTGGCCTTTTGTGTCTGGGACATTAGTGCTCTCTTAAGGCTCCTCAGATGCACCTAATATGCACCTGGGTTTGACAACCCTGCTCTAGGCCAGCAGGTCTCAAACTTGAGTGTGCATCAGAATCACCAGGAGGGGTCGTTAAAGCGCAGAGTGCTGGGCCCACCCCCCAGAGTTTCTGAGTCAATAGTCTTGGTTTTGAAAATGTGCATTTCTAACAAATTCCCAGGTGATACTGACCCTGCTGTTCCAGGAACCAAACTTTGAGAACCACTGCACTAGGCTAACAGTATTAAGAGTCATTGTGTGAAACTATTTCACAAAAAGGCAAATTTTGTTGAGAAAAGCCAGTTTCTCTCTCTCCTTAGGGAGCAGACTATAGAGACCCACTACATCTCCACTATCCAGGACATCCCCCACCCCTGCCAGAGTACACTCCGATCAACCCTGATGTAAAGTCCACAATAAGACTTCTCGGGTCTGAGAAGACACAGAGCCACTCCCCCAAAACCAAAATTCTTAGATCCTATAATCCGCCCAGCTGGAGAGATAAAAATCAGATTTCTTCTTTTCTTATGTTGCTCATCAGGCCCAAAATATATACTCCTAATTTTCCTCACATGAATTAAAAAGTACAGGTTATTGCAATGCAAATGATATGCCCTCCAGGTTATTTTATTAGGAATTATTCATACCTGGCAGTCTGTCAATTTCTCTGTGTTAGCTGATTCCTAAGGTGTCTTTAGGATTAAATGAGATGAAGTATATAAAGTGCCTGACATTTTGTAGGTACTCGATGCTTGTTAGAGCCTCTCCTTTCTCAGGCTGAATACCTGGCAAGGCTTAAGACCCATCAAGGATCTTTTCATTTGGTAGCTTGAAGCCTTCAGACATAGGGACAAGGCTACTTGGGAGTAGTAATGGTGTTTAAGTTGTGAAACAAAGAACTGCAGGAAACCATATGAGTTCCCACAAGGTCTCCCAGAATCACAATCTTTGGGGAGAATCAAACATAAATCTAGAAATGACCCCTCTTGTCAGATTGCTTATCCAAAATCCTGCCTTCTAGAATCTAATTTCATCGGATAGTGCCCTCTTGTGGCAGCAGAAATCCTACATTTGAATTAGTGGAAAGAAGGATCACTGTATCGTAGCCAAAGAGAGTTTTGTTTTTTTTCTTTTTTTTTTCTGAGCAGTTGCTAAGAACCACTGATGTGCTACAGGAGGCTCACACTGGCTTGTAAGAGCCAATAGTTAAATTTTTAGGAATTTTGCAAACTGGTTAAGCGCAGCCATTATTAAAAATTAATGTATACAATTCAATAAATTATATTAAAAACAAAGGCAATAAATGCTCAAAGCTAATCCCTTCCTAATTATTTTATTATATTCTACTATTGTCTTTGTTGTCAGGGTTATTTACATTATTGTACCTGTATTGTGGAAATGCTCTACAATGGTTGCTACTGCACATCTGTCCCCAACTCTGTGTTCAGTGGTATCACACTGGTAGTAGGAAAGTGGGCATGGCAGGAGTATTTACACCATGGAAATAGATTGTTAAATGTTACCAGCACACCACTGCTTGAGAAAGTAGGAAGTAACCAGATGCTTCTGTGAGCTAAGTAAGGACCTGGAAAAGTCTAAGACCATATTACTCAATACAATAGCCACCAGCCACCTGTGGATATTTAAGTTTGAACTAAGTAAATTAAATACAATTAAAAATTCAGTTCCTGGGTTGCACTAGCCACACTTCGAGTGTTCTCTAGCCACGTGTGGCTACATTATTGGACAACACAGGTACAAAAGATTTCCATTATTTCAGAAAGTTCTATAGGACAGAGCATAGTTAGTTGCTATTATTATTCCCATTTTGTAGCTATTGTCCTCCACATAGTTAAAAAAATTTTTTTAGGACTTTTGGTCAAGATAGCAGAATAGACAGTCCCCAGCATCACTCTCTCCCACAAATCAACCAATTTACAACTATAAAAATGTAACATCAGCCAAGCTGGGGCCGCTGGAGCTCAGGGGAAGAGGAGGAGAGACCTACAGAGTTCATGAAGGTAGAAGAGACCACAATGAGAGAAAGAAAAAACTGCTGAGTGTTTCAGGCCATGGCGACTTTAAAGCTCGAGCTGCTGTGTGCATGGAGCAGGAGCCAGCAGAAGCCACAGCTGTGCCCTTCAGATGGAGTTGCTCAGAGGCAGCAGGGAAGAAGAGGGCCTTGGTGGCCCCCAGGACAGCAAGACCACTAATAGTGTTCCCGTGGACCCACGCAGGACTGAGGAACCAGAACAGCTGAAGAAGGGGAGCCATTCAGAGGCCGGTGAGTCATTGCAAGGGACCGGTGCAGGGCCTGCCTCATGGGAAGTGTTCAGAGCACAGGTGGTGGGGGAGACAGGCCCACTGGGAGAACAGTGGGACACAGCAAAGACAGCTGATCTGCCCCCCAATCAGCACAGGACCACTCAGAGGAGACTGGTCAGGAATGCAGAATTGCATGGGGTGCAGTTTGATGGTAAAACTTAGGCCCAGATCAGAGTTTCTGTACAACCCAGGTGCACTGGGTCCCTGGAAAGCCAGAAGTATCTATAAGGTCATCCATTAAACCCTGAGCTTCACAAAAAGCCTTCCCTAGAGAAACAGCAGCAAAGGAGCAATTTAGCTCAACCACACAGCTGAAGTACTGGTTCCCACAGGAAGTTCCCCTGTTGTAGAAGTAAGCAAAGGACAAAAAATTAGTTCCAGCCCAGGCACAGCATCAGCGCCTTGGGGCCGGCCAGAGGACATAAGGCTGGAGCCAGGGACCGGACCCCCCTCCCCCAACCAGGCACTCTGTACCAGCGCCTTGGGGCCTGCCCGGGGACCCAAGGCATGGAGAAATGGACCGGACCCCCCCCACACACAACTAGGCACACCACCAACATCTTGGCCCTGCCTGGGAGCCCAGGGCATGGCGCCAGGGACCGGAACCCCCCTAACAACCAGGCAAACTGCACCAATGGCTTGGGGCCCAGCCAGGGACCTGAGGTATGGAGCCAGGGACCAGATCCCCCTCCCACAAACAGGCAGTGCGCCAGCACCTTGGGGCCTACCTGGGGACCCGAGGTATAGATCCAGGGACCAGACACTCCCCACAACCAGGCACACTGCCAGCACAAAGGAGCATGCCAAAAACATCACCTCCATGTGGGTGGCCTACTACAGCCACCATAATAACCATGGCTGCTGCGAAAGCAGCTAGATGCCACAACCACCATGCAGATGGTCCGCCAGCCACTGGAGTGCATTGACACAGGAGAGTCACCAGTAGAGATAAAGAAAAGGAGAGGACATCTCTCTCCACAAAGCCCATTTTAGAGTGACAGAAGCATCTGCTCTATGATAATATTGGGGGACCTGATCACCCCTCTCAGCATTGGACAGATCATCTAGGCAAAAAATCAACAGAGTAACCATTATTCTTTCAGAAGGAGAGAAGAAATCTAGGGTAATTAGAGGGGGGAGGAGGAAGGGAGACGGGGATGGGGAGAGATGGGACAAGGGGCATAAAGCATAATTATGATTTGTAACAATATATATGCTAGTAATATTGATTTGCTCAACATAAGTCAATGTTGAACCCCCAAAATATGTATAATCAATTTTGATTCAAATAAAACATTTAAAAAATATAAATAAAAAAATAATTTTTTATAGAACATTTCATGCTGGGCACTGTGCCAGGAACCCAAAGATGAATAAAACACGTTCCTGCTGTTAGGAGCTTATAGATTAGTGGGAGAGAAGAGCAAGAAAAAAAAAAAAACTGACTTTAAATATTTGTTAAAGCCTAAGATTGAGGTGTAATAGGAGCAAAGAGAAACAGCACTTAATTCTACACAGGGGTTCAAAGAAGGCTTTTAGAGTTGACTTGCCTGAAATACTTGAGGCCAGGCAGAAAATGGCTTCTCGGCAGAGGGAGCAGGAGGGAAGGTAAACAGCTTGGGAACATGTGAAATAGCCTGAGAGCGTGTCTGGGAGAAGCCGAGCAGTTCTGCATAACTGGGCGTGAAGTGCGTTGGGGCGGGGAGGGACACTGTCCTGGAAGATGGGGCCAGGCTGAGGAGCTTGGACTTTATCCTGAAGCTGATAGGAAACCACAGAACTTAGGGGCAAATGGTAGCACTGCCATAATGGTCTGGCCACAACGTAGAGGCTGGCTTTGAGGTGGATAGTCGTGGTGGCAGTTTGATTACATCAAGATGGAATAAATCCACATGGGAGATGATAAAAGCTTGAACTAGGTCAGTGGACATAAGTTACAAGAAATACATAAAGGAAGTCAAATTAGCAGGATTTGGTGACTGACTGGAAGGGAAGGATAAGGAAGATGCTTAGTCAAGATCATCCCCAGGTTGCAGTGTGTGGTGATCGGACCGTGGAG